CCGAGGTGGGAGCGAGGGCCGCGCCGCCGGGAGAAGCGCAAGTTCCCGGGGAGCGCTCGGGCAGGGCGCGATCCTTAATTAATTCGCCCGTCTAGACGGCGGCGGCGGCTTATCTGCGCTGGCATCACCTCTCCGGGCCAGACCGCGGCGGCGGCGGCGGCGGCGGCGGGGGAAGACGGAGGTCCTCCCGGATCCGGGGACTGACTTCCTCCGAGAAGGCGCTTCGGCTCTTTCCCGCAGCCTCATCCTGGCCAGGAGTCCCATGGGGCGGGGAGGGGAGGGGCGGGGCGGGGCGGGGAGTGGAAGGTAGGAATACCCCCAGGGTTTCAGCCCCCCCTCCAGGGGCGCAGTGTCCGCGGGGCCGGGGAGCGTCTCTCCTGGGGATGGGGGGCACGTTGCCCAAGCCCCTTTCCCTTGCAAAAAACCCAGCAAGGCTTCCCTGGCAGGTCAGAGCAAAACCCCAGAGCAACTGCAGCTTGGTTAGGCGTCTCCCCCCCACCCTCCTCTGGTTTAGCAGGTTGTGTGAATGCACTCATTGGATTAATGTGTGGGTTAGGGTAGTGTGGAAATCCAGAACACGGGTTAATTCAGGAACTCGGTTAAGCCCCTTGGAGGAGCACAGCCAAACGTCCCTGGGCATTTCACTGCCTGGTCTGAACACGCCTCTGCCCGCCTCTGCCCAATGGCCGGGCCGGGCCTGGCAGCCAGCGGTGCACAGTTTCCTGGGAAGGCCCTCTTCTCTGACATTAGGGTTAGGATCCTGGATTATAAATGAAGTCTGCAACCTCTTCAGGACAAGGTTCCCTCTCTCTCAATCCATATTGTTTACATGCCCTTCAAGAAGCACATCCCCAAGCGTTTCCAAGAGAGTGCACACACAATTCATCAAAAAGTAGATTGGCCCGAAAACAACAGGGCTTCAGAGGATCAACCTTAGCTTCTCCCCCATCAGCTTTTCTTCTGTGCAACCCTACTCCCCCCCGCTCGTAATATTTCAGTGGGAGTAGCAGCCTTTCTAGACGAACGAAAGTGATCTTGAGGCAAAGGACAAATAAAAAACCGGGCACCTTCCCCAGAGGCACCATCGAGTTGCACTTCCGTACTGGCCATGTTGCAATTCCAGCCATGGGGCAAATATTCTTAAATCCCACCTTTCTGCGTTACTGAGATAGTCAAGGTGCTCCCAAAAAGGAAGAAGAAAAGCCACATGCAAAATATTATGCATCATTAGAAGATGTGCCGGAAATGATTTGGGCGGCTGGGTTAAGAGCTGTGTTCGACCCTTTGGCTGCAAACCAGAGGGTGGGGGGGGGGACCAGGGGCACTTGCAACGGGGGGCATTCCAGTTTGGGAATGACCACTCACAGCCCTCTGCCTTAAGATGCAGGGAAACGGTACCGGGGCAGAATTTGCACGTCTCACTCCCAACCATGCACTCTCTCTCCCAATTTACCAGCAGGCGATGCTCAGCGAACCACACCACGCCACGTCTGCTTGCCTCAGGTTCGATGTTTACTGCTCTGCTTATTCCTAAGTATTTATTTTTACACGAGCTATCGTGGGCCAAGTAAACTACACACACCCACAGCTGTGGGCAAGACGGTGTTGCTCTTTTTAGAAGGCGCAACCTCGACCGGATGCCAATCCTGCTCCCAGGGCCTCTGACTCAGTTCAGCATTTGACCCTTCCAGTAGCTGGCAGGCAGAACACGGGGCACGTCTGTCCTTGCAGAGCTAGACAGACCGGGCATGGCACCTCCTCCCTTGGCACACTGACCAGGTCTCTTTCAGGCTCCAGTGGCATCTCTGGCCAGGTTTCTATCTAGCAGGGAGGCTAACAGTTCGATGAAACATTGAATTACGACCTGGGTGCCATTTTGGGGGGAGATTAATCGCAGTTGTCTTTGAAAGAAAGAAAGAAAGGTGGAAGGAACCATCTACATTTAGTTCTGCCTAGTTCCAACCTCCCCATGGTTTCTCCTCAGCATGCATGGGATCTTATCTGCTCCACCCCCTTCAGCAAGAAGACACCCCTCAGAGAAGAGAGATCCAGATCATATTCCTCCCCTCCCTGAAAATGTTTCCAGTTCCTCCCCTGTGTGAAAGCCTGTAGGCATTCCCATCTAGTGATGGGGTGATTTTGTTATTCTGGTATGGTGGCTTTCCAAAACCCTTCCCTGATCTTAGAGATTCAAAGGAAGACTCAGTCAATGTGAAATCCAACTTCCTTGCATGGAAGAACAACGACACTGATGATGAAACAGAGAAGGAACATGAATAAGGTGATTAAAAGTGATTGAGAAAAATACCCAAGGCAGCAGCCATCCATTTGTGTTCTGCAAGGGCATCCTTGCTTTTGGAGAAGCAGGACAGCAACCTGCAGGAGAACCTTCATCAGGTAGACCTTGCAGAAGGATCTTCAGGAAAAACATCTCCTTGGGTTTGGTTCCTGACTGTGGAGGATGGAATCCCTGTATCTCAATATTACTTCTAGACAATCTCTTCCAGCCTGCTACTTTCAGATGTTTGGCCTTCAACATCTTTCACCCCTAGCTATGGTTATTAGGGGAACTGAAGCCCAACGCTTGGGCAGGGAGCAGTCTGGAAAGGTAAGTTTCCAGGATACCTATCAGGAGAGAGGAAAATCCATATTTATTTGGCCAAGATAAGCCTTCTGGATAAAGATTAGATGTAGTAACTCAACTCTTTCAATTTGATGACTCCATGTTTACATGTAGACAGTTACTTCACCCCTTCACAAATGTCAACCAGAAGAAATGTTCATGAGGAGATAAAGATATTCTGTACATAGCTACAGATAGATTACATGGGGTCACACACACAGAGGTCATCTACAGCAATTTCCACAATGGCAGAAAATAGTCTGCTCCTGAATTTATCAGTGTGAGGATCAAGACAGTCAGAAGTAAGAAGGCCTGCTAAACAATATCTTAATCCCTGGTAATACTTCCTGAGGAGGGCTATTTATTTATTCGATTTGGATCCTGTTTTTTGCCCAGGAGCTCAAGGCAGCATTCATATTTTCCTCTATAAGAACACGAGTTGCTCTGGCTGAGGGTGGGACCGAAAAGGAGGGGAGTCTCCCTGGTGGGTGTCTCCCACTTTAACCACCACTTTGAAAGCGATTCAGAATAAGTGCTTTGAACCTCACACAAGCATGCCCCTTCTTGGCTGTTCATTGAATATCTCATGTTTCTTTAAGCTTCTGCATGAACCTGAAACCTTAAGAGTGGTTTTAAAGATGTTCTACTTCCATTTGTTAAAGAAGCAACATCTTTTAGAGGGCCTGAAGGCTCAACCAGCTGAAAAATAAAACAAAACAAAAAAATCATGGTCACACTTCCCATGCTGGGTTATGAGAATAATGATAAATTATGATGATACAAATGCAATCCACCCTCGTGTGTTCCAACATTTCTTTTAATGAACTTAGTGAAAATCACCACTTACAGACGACTGAAAACGGCCATTATCAAAATGTCCTGCTCATTTGCAACATGCCCACAAAATTTAAAGTAAACTGGAACCCGTGCCCCAAATGGCTTAAATATTCTCACGTTGGGGTGAAATTCCCATAGCTTATTATCTACATTGAGAATGTTGTGCTTCTTAAAAGACTGAAAACATCAGGAGCTTTTATACCAAAAGTTATACAAAACAGACAGCTAAACAGAATAAATTGCTTTAGGACGAGGTCTCTAGAACAGGAGACCAGGAAGAATTTACTGAAAGGAAAGGAACAGAAGTAGAAACGCTCATTGGCTGGTCTCTATTTAGGGCTGTGTTTTTCAAACTTGGCCATTTTAAGATGGGTGGACTTCAACTCCCAAAATTCCCAGCCAGCATGTTGGCTGGGGAATTCTGGGAGTTGAAATCTACACATCTTAAAGTTGCCAAGTTTGAAAAACACCGATTTAGAGCATAGTTTTAGCAGCATTACAATGCCAAATAGACTACTCTATGGGGAAACAGGATACAAGGATCCGTGGCAAGGGTGTCTGCAGGAGAAAGTCAAAAAAGTCAAGATGTCGCCACAGACACATGTATAAAAAGGGGCGGGGCTTTGATTATGTGGTTGTGGTCGCCATCTTGACTTTTCTGACCTCTTCCTGCGGAGCAGCATAGCTTTCATCCATCTGTCATTCAGCACGTATGCCAGATCACAACTCCCGTGCTAGCTACAAAATGCCAGGAGTTGTAATGTCATCTGGAGATGCCAGATTGGAGAAAGAGGATATGCTAATAATAAAAGAAACCTTTGTTTTCCAAAATTCCAAAACAATTAAACAGGATTTCAAAGTATGTACAAGTCTTCAGACAGAAGTAGTGCAAATTACATATCTTTAAATATATACCTCTCTCTACGTATAGTTATCTACAGTATATGCATTTTCAGTATCGAAGAAACTCCCCAACGTCATCTTCAAGAAAACAAGAATGGCTTCAACGACAAAAAACCATCTTTGAGAAACCAAAATAAATGATCATTTCTTCTCCTTCTTCAAGAAGAACTGCCGGGCGTCTTCCCAGGTCTGCCGAGGGAACCTGTTTGACAGCTCCAAGTAATCTTGAGAACCAAAGAAGGCTTCTGTCAAATGAAGAACAGAGACTCCCTTAGAATTACCTTGCCCTGATCCTCTGCTGGATGTGGGGGGAGGTCTCCATGTTGCCCTCCCTCCCAGTTTGGCTTGGCTGGGATCTATTTCCTGCTTTTAAAAGGGGCAGCCCAGGGCACGTGAACTGCAGAAGGGTTCGCTTCCCCCCAGGAACGGCTCTGCTCAAGGGTCCAGCAGGATGTTCCGCTCTTCCCAAAAGCAACCGCGCAGGTTCTGAGCACGAGACCGCCGCTCATGGATCGCCTGATGCTGCTTACCCCTTGGTGGCGAAGGCTGGTTATCTGTTTGGCTTGAGCCTTGCGTAGAATCCTACCAAAATAAAATCCAAATGTTGTCCAATTTTCTCAGAAACCCAATACTCCGGCTTGTTCTGGCTGGGTTTTGTAGCAAACCAAGGCCGAGCAAAACCCTACAGAGCCGACTCAGAAAACGCTTCCTTTAACACAACGCTCCCCTCTCGTATAAACAGTTGTCGAAACAACCATTGTTGGAATAGATTTTAGCAGGAGGAAAACTCTGCTTGCAAAGACTGAAGTACCACAGAACCTGGCTTTATAATTTTCGGGTAGTTTTCTCACTTCTAAAAGAAGTATAATAAGGCCATTCTTTTTTGGGTGTGTGTGTGTGTGTGTGTGTGTGTGTGTCATTGTTGTTTTCTATTTCAGTGCATTTTGATACAACCCCAAATGCCTGCAACCTGACCGAGTCTCTCAATTCCCCCATATGGTAAACATTTATTTTCCAATCTAGGGGTCAGATATCTCACGTTGCTTATCGGGGAGGGGGAAGACTCTCTCTCTCCCAAACTAAATTGGGAAGGCGCTCACACTGTGTCTCCCCACAAGAGCACGCAAATGGAAATCCAAGTGTACGTGTAAATCTGTTTTTCATTTTGCAGGATCTGGGAGAAGAAAAAAATCCCAGCTTTTTATACAGCCTATTTGTTTGTTTATTTGTTTAATACTATTACATTCAATTTTTTTTTTAAAAAAAGCAGATGGCTAAACAATTTCTAAAGGCCAGAGGAAACTTAAGTTGTCTTCAGGTTACAAAACTGGATATGTTTATGTGAACAAAAATTAAAAACCGTATTAACGCTAATTAACATTAAGCTGGATTTAATTTATGCTAGATTGTCCTGGTTTTCGGATCAAGTAACTATATATCAATTACTTTACTGGTGAAAACAATAGTTCATTCTTCACGTAAGCAATCAACATTTTTGCTTTTTTGTAACATCTGCTTGTGGTAGCCAAAATCATTCATAACTTTTCCTCAAACAGTTGCTAATTTATTCTTTCAAAACAGTTACAGAAGAAAAACACCTTCAATAAAAATGCATTTTATTCTTCTGCTCCTCTTTTAATGGATCTGACCTCATGCTTTTATTATCTTAGGCCTTGTTTTTAACTATTTGCTTTTATTGCGGTATATTTTAATGTATTTATTTATAATTTCACTCTAGAGTTTAAGTATTGTGAGTCTCCCAGCAAGCTTCTTCAACTGGATGGAAAAAAAAACACGTTTAAATTTTTCAACTATTTTATAGATTTGCAACAGGTTAAGCACTACAAATTTCGGATGTGTCTGAAGGTTGACAAAGACAACCTTTTTGATATGACTAATTAAATGTGTATGCATGTACATGGGCACATAAATAAACACTGTTTTGTGCAACCTGATTATTAAACAGACTACAGGCATGCCAAAAAAATGTGAATCCTTACGTGCAGAAGAAAGAATGATTGTTTATGGAAATGGGAGTTTCTGATCTCAACGTTTAGTATAGCCGGTGTTTACTGCCACAGGCAACATGACCTAAAGTTAATATCTGTAATTAAAAAAAACCCTCTACATAAATACACGGCAACATTTATATTTTGGTATCAGTTGTATTACGTTAAAACTAGACTTGTCTGTTGAATGGGCTCATGCTATCTATTTCAGGATCCTGCCCATATCTTATGAAGTATCAGCTGTTCAAACTTTTATCAAAACGGACTGTGCACATTTTAAGTAAAAACATCAACCAATATTTAGAATATTCTCCAAAATGCTTCGCAAGTGTTTACGAGATAAAGCTTTGGACTGTAAACATGTCTTTCAAACCTTCCTTCCTTCCTTCCTTCCTTCCTTCCTTCCTTCCTAATTAAAAATTACTATTTTTTTTGGACAAGAAGAGTCTCTGCGTGGTAACACCAACCAAACCATTTACCTGAATGAACGTGGCCAACAACACACAACTCATTTCTTGCTCCAGAATGATCTTGTTCTGTGGGTTATTGTAACAAGCAGCAATGAGGGTCGGAAAGAGGACTTTGATGAGACGTGGGTCGCTAAAATACTGGAAAGGCAACTGACACAGCTTCTGGAGCACGGTGGGGTGGCGGCCGGATTGCACAATTATCTGAAAAATGGAGACAGCACCACATTAGAGCACTGCTGATGGATTTCCCCGATCACCTGGAAAAGGAGTAAAATCAAGTCATGAAACCAAGATACACTTGTATAAATTAAGAAAAGCAACAACAACAAGCTAAACTTTTGGTATTAAGCATTTGATTCAAACTGCCCTCCCTCTCCAGAAATTTCTTTTTATGCCCGGTACCTGCGCAATAAGAATCTTATATAAAATACGACGCAGTAACCGAGAATCAGACAGCCCCGAGGAGACGACGCAAAACGGCAATCAATACCTACACACACCGATACACGGAGAAAACACGTGCAAAACAGAAGGGACTGTAGTAAAAGATTTAGGAAAGCCTGGCCAGAAAATTGCTGGTTGGGGGGATGTTGCTCCTAATAAATTGCTTCACGGGGCAACTGGAAAAGGCAGCGAACCCGATTCGGCTGAAAAGAAGGATGTCTGTTGTGTGGCCGCTAGATTTTGAGCAGTAGCTGAGTAAGATCCTCCCATTAGTTTTTTTTTTTTAAACCTGGATTTCTATTAATGCCCTTGACGTTAAACAGGGAATTGTTTAGATAAATGGAACTGCTGTCATCCAGGCAGACTTTATGGCAGAGGATACGTTAAGCAATAGCCTTGCTGCTAGCTTCCAGAGAAAATTTCTTCGGTTATTTAATTCCACAGGATCTTGATAATAAAGGAACATGGACAACATCAACTCAGGTCCGGTGACACTCAGTAAGATAATAGCAATAAAACGAATGATAATGAGGAGGAGGAGGAGGAGGATGACATTGACAATGACAAAAGAGCCATTTGACCCACATTTGACTTTCTGCTATCGAATGAAACTCCTATAACGTTGGAACGGTTGTAGCTTTTTCTTAGGGTTGCAATTCTAAGTTGTGCTCAGAGAAAAACAACAGCAGCACTTTACAGGTATACACAGCGGGTCCAAGCTGCTCTCAAATTAAAACCAGGAGGACAAAAAAGAAAAAGGCAAAGAGAGAGAGAGAGAGAGAGAGAGAAAGAAAGGGTAGAGGCCACAGGAACATAAATTACAGGGATTTACAAGTTTTCAAAGAACTTTTAACAATTCGCTAAGAACACATTCTCAGTTCATAATGCAGTTCAGGTCAAGAACAAGATCAACAACGCAATAGTTCACATTTTTTAGTTCAATAGTGAAAATGAAATTGAAAACCTCCCAGTGAATACAAAGAGGAACCCCTTAATTCTTCTAAATCCAAATGGAATTTTAAAGACACCGGCTACGGCAGGGGGCTCCGTGTGCGCGAGGCATCTTGAATGACACTTCCCCCCCACCCAACCCCAAAAGCAGGATTCCAATCGAAGCCCTAAAAGTAGGGCTTTGAAACTACGTTTTAATCAATATCGCCAGCTTTATTCGACAAGGCCGTTCTTGGTGTGGTGTGCACTCCTTATTTTTGTCCAAAAAAAAAAAAAAAAAAAGTCCTGGACTTTAGAAAAAACAATTTTTACAGATTTCTGAAGGGTGAAAAATTGCCCCCAACAAACGTTAGTTTTAAAACAAACGACGTATGTGACTATATACCTTCCGAAGTTCACGAATTTTAATTCTGAAAGACCACCCGTTGCTTCTTTTTGAGTATCTTCCAAAAATAAACCCACTTACAAGGAAAATTGATATTTCTATCTTATCCTCTACCTTGTATTTAACATTGGGATATAGAAGAGTATCATTAGCTGAGGGATTCAGAGCTGGTAATTATTCTAAGTGTGCAATAATTGTTGTTTGGCTGACTCAAGGAACCGGAATTTAAAATAGCCACTTAAAATTGCTTTTATTAATGGGCCTGTCTTTGTTTGAAGGAGGCAAAGAGAACAATCTTATAAATAAAACAAAAGGAGGCAACAATGCTTTCTTGCCACATCGCTGGATAAGAGGATAAGATTTGGTCTGGAAACGGTTGCCCTTTGGTGCTTATTTATGGCAAAACAAAGTAGTTGAAAAACAATTTTGCTGACTGCTTTCATGGATGAGGAACACGGCCTATCCTCACAATCGCAGATGAAAATAGGCCCAACATTTTAGAAATAAAAATAAGGTCAAGTGTTGGGTTCCTGTAGAACCCTTTCCGAGTCCCGAGAGAATCACCAGAAGTGCTGGCGTGCGAAGGAGTAACATGCAGCATTTGGGAGAAGACTTTTTCGAGAGGCACTTCAATCTTTCACTTGTTCAACCCGTTGACTTCAGTGGGTGAGATGTGGACTCAACAGATTGCCTGGACCTTTGCTTTGCTTTACCAGTCTTAACAAATGAAGAATTGTAAGGCCTCTTGGAAAGGCCTACTTCCAAGTCAATGGAAAAGTCAACGAAAAAGGCCAAATTCAATTCCCTTAGGGTAGATGGAGATATTGGAAAATTTTTTTCCTATTTTATGCCTTATATTTTCTTTCATGAGAAGCACGCTCCCTAGTTGACTCCTCTACCTGTCTAAGAATACGGAAGGTTTAATGCCGTGTTCCTCAACTGACTGGCTCAGCTACCTGCACTGTGTAGAAGCTGGGAGGGACTCTTCCACGCGCTCTATTCCCTTCCTTAAACACACTGCTGGGGTGAGAGCTGTGCTCGGATTACCGGACTTATGGTTGCGGGCTTACACCCCCTTTTTGTGCCAGACCCACAGGCTAAGATAGTGCAACGTTAAGTTTGCCCTTTGGAGAGAGAAGCTCAAACTACCGCTTTTCGGTTTCTCCAAAATCACACTAACTAGTTTACAAAACTAAAGCAGCACCTTATATATAGTAATTAAGCCTTTTATAGCCAACATTTAAATATCATAAAGGTATGAAAATCCATATGTGAACAGGGTGGCTCTGTCAAGGGATGTCCGACAAGCCAATGAGCACAAGGAATTTTGCCCAGGTCTGCTGCTGCAAAAGACCACTTCTCCCTGATCTCAGAAGGAGCCACCTTCTGGAGGAGGAACCTCGTCTGAAAGTTTTAACTGATCAGCCTCTTGTACGGAAGAAGGCAAATGACGCTGATGCCACCTCCGGTCTGTTGTTTTCATAATACTTCTCCTCCTCCCCTTTCACTTTCTCCTCCTTTGTTAGTAGGCTCACTTGAGCTTTATTTTTCAGCTCCATGGGGGGACAGAGCACTAACCTGTAGGAAGCTCCGGAGATATTTTATGCAACCTATACTATTGATTCCTGGGTTATAGGATGGGGAGAGTGAGGATTAAACTACCTGCTACGAAAGTGTCTTACTGGCACCAAAGTTGACTGCCTACTTAAGCCAAGTGCAGAAACACACTCCCTCATATTTGATTTGTGTTCCTTCCCAGCTCTGCATTCCCTGAGCAGGGGCAAACTTCTTAGGAATGCTTGGGTTAAAAAGTACTAGGAGACGCTGAAGGACCACACTCAAAATCTGATAACGTGCATGGAAGAGAGGGACGTGGGGTGATGACTTGCATTTACTGACAGTTAACCTATCTTTTCAAAGCAACAGGAATTAAGCTCCTGCCGTATACGGTTTCTAAGAGCACAATACACCATTTAACAATTAAAATGCATTTATGTGAGGTTATTTATAACTACATAAAAGAAATAGTTCCTCGTGTGGCCTGGAATGTACCTTTTCTCTCTCTGTTGCTCTCAAGTTAGATCTGCATTACTTCTTTGCTACGCTATAAACAAATCCGGGACTGTAACCGTTTAATCAGAAGGATATGTCATCCCGTGGGTCAAACTCTTTACCGATCTGTTTCTCCAGGTTTAACATTAGAAAGGCTTTAACTTTCGGGAGGGGTGAGGAAAGAAGGAGTTTTTACTTTTCGAGAAATATTTATCATGTTTTCCCACCCCTACAGGAGGGCTGACGGTGTAGACGGCTGGACTTTCAAGGTTAAAAGGACTCTGATGAAATTATCTTTCCCCTTAAAAGACTTATAGTATTTTAAGGTGCCCAATGTAACTTCGTGGGGGCTTTAAAATAAATCTAAAAAGTTAAAATACACTCATTATAAATCAATTCATTATGAATCCATTGGTTATTTCTTGCATTACAACCTCCCCCCCCCAGTCTTTTTCAGGAAGGTCATGGTGGCATATGTGGGAGTCTCCCCTTATGTTACCCCCCCACAAAAACAATGCTGAGAGGTAGATTGGGCTAAGAGGGGGACTTGGGCCATAGCCATAGGGGGATTTGAATCTGGGTCTTCCCAACCCTAACTCAACATCCTAACCCATCCAGCGCCCTGGATGTGTTCAAGAAAGCACAATAAATCAATCAATAAAAGAAAAATACATTCATAAAGGCAACAGCATTTATATATATATATATATAAATAGCACTTAAGGTATGTAAGATGCAAGGTTCCACCATATCTCCAACTGTATAGTTCATAATTCATAGTTGGGAACCTTAGCATTTAAAATAATTGTGGTCAAGGAAGACTCCGCTCCCCCCTGCAGCAAACTGGATTCCTGTAAATGAGTGAGATCAGAATGCTACTGCTCTTACCTCATGTCTACTTGCACCCTTAAATGGTGTTGATCGATCTACTTCTTGCACGTTTACAAAAGATGCATTTGGGCAAAACAAGAACCGAATCAAATGTATTCTTGTGTAAACGTTCGCGGACCATGTCCGCCACTCTGGACAGGACCTGAAATCTCAAGGATAACTGGGCCCGGGTACGCTAAAACTCAGACTAAGCCCGTAAAACAACAAAAACAGTGACACCTTTTAAACGTTGCCTAGATTGCCATCTTAATCCAATTAAAAAGGATAAACAAGCCTACATTGGAAACAGATAAACAAGCTTTAAGCCAAAGGATGTATAAATAACAGATGTAAGTAAATCTAGAGCTGGAGGGTGGGGAGGGGTCAAAGGAGGGGAGGAGAAGACTTGGAAAGAAGGGAAGAGAAGAAAAAGACTCACTTCCATAGGCCTTCTTGTTATAAATGCAGACAGGTACCTTCCCTGCATAGATTATTCTAAAGACATCTGTCATTCTGAGTTGATGCGCTAATGTCATAGAAGGAAGGAGGAAGTCTGTGGAAGCGACTGGGGTGAATTATTTTTTGGCACCAGCGCATCTGCTGTCATGCCATGGTGGTCACCCGCTACGTTCTGGCTGTGAACTCCGAGAGTTATTCAGCTCTGCAGGGGCTACAGAAGAGCGGGCACACTTCTCAGCATCTGAATGGATCCATAAGACAAAGAGATTTCATGTTTGCCATCCCCAAGCATCCTATTTTCCTTCCAGTCAAGGCCCGTTGAGGATGCACCTTTAATAATATGGGAAAGAGCTCCCCTTCTGACTCAGCCTGCTTGGAATCGGGCAAATTCCCAACCGAAACTGGATGGACTGCACAATTAGCAAAGAAGACTACAAGGCTGGACTTCGCCATCTGCCGTCCCTGAGAAAACTCATCTGGGGGGGTTGGGAGAAGCCTGAAACTAATAACCAATCCCAAAGCCTGAGTCAGCCTTCCTCAACACCAAATTCCCAGTCAGAAAGTTTGAGAATGTTGAAGTTGCTTGAAAAATCTGGAAGGTGCCAGAGAGGGGGGAAAAAACCCTGTTCAATAGCTAGAGCAAATGACTGTTTTTCTCTCCTTGCTGTAGTCTGCTATTGTTGGAGAAAAAGCTGAAGATTTACAACCTATAGAGCTAAAGCAGAGGTCAGAACAGAGGGAGGCTCTTGGCATCGTATCATGCTGAGTTTGTTTTAAATTACAGCTGGCATCGGAGTAGCCCTTGAGAAGAAAAGAGCAACAGGCTGTCTCTGGATGCAGTGGTGGAAACGTGATGCTCTCTCTGTGAACCGCTTTGCTGATGGTGCTAAGTCATGTGCGTTTCATGCTGACTGAAGAAACCAAGTTGGTCAAATTTGCGCCACAGGTCCAGCCAGAAAGCATGGTGCATGGGCTGGAGGAGAGGGGTACGGACCACCTGCCCAACCAAAACCACGGCCTTAAGACTGAACACCAACAGCTGGACCCAGTCTATGGGTTTGATTCATGGCACAACCTTGAGTGCTCAAGACTCATGTTTATTCATAGGGTACCATCTAGTTTAGGGAACCATGGTGAAAAAAACATTATACCTTCTGAAGTGGATGAATGGCCACTAAAAGGTGATAAACCCTTGTTTATCATACAATAATATTAATATTAATTATCATACAGTAATAGTAATAACAAAAATGGCCTGACTCAGCCTTTCCTCATCGGATATCTTGCAGTTGGGCAGCTCCAGCCAGTGTTAGTGAAAAGAAATTGTTTTTAAAGACAGAAGAGGAGAGTTAAACATATTTTCTCCAAGCCACTAATGTTATGCTGACCTAAATCAAAGATAGGATTTTGAATCATAACATTTGCTTTCAAGTCTTGGATGCTTCTGGATCACAAAAAGGCACAATTTTATTTATTTATTTATATGCCAAATTTGTCACTGCCCATCTTGTTAAAAAAAACGACTCTGGGCGGTTTATAGAGAAGCTAAAATCTGTTAAAAATAAAGTATAAAATAGACCTGAATAAATAAGAAATAAATATAGTCCAAGAGTTGATGTTAATTGGCAAGTAGCTCGGGGAGCATCATCAGGGTGCCAGCCACTCCCAGGATTAAGATTTTTGTTGCCCCACACAAGCTGACAAAGCCAGGTCTTATACGCCAAACGTGATACTGTCAGAGTTATAATTTGGAGCACCAGGAGACAAATTACCTGTGCCAAACATCTTTGTCCAGTGCCCGCCCCCTCCATGGAAAACCATGGGTCCAAGAACTTCCAATTGCAAGGATTGGCCAGATTAAAAATACTCCCTTGTAAAAATGAATATGCAAAGGTTTCTTTCTTTGCTCTTTTTAAAAATTCCCAGTGCGGCAATGTGGAGGAAACCAACTCATCTGTCATTCATGTTAATTTAATTATCAGACCCCATTCAACTGTCCAATATAAAATGCAAATGAGATCAACAGTTGCCAACAACCACTGTGTTTATTAATTAGATCAGAGAGCAAGAGAGCCCCCCGCCCAAAGTGTCACAAGATGCAAGCAGTCCGTTAATTAACAGCAATATTTTTAATTAAGAAACTGTAACCCTTTTGTAAAGCCACCAGTTGGCTTAGTTATTTATAAGTGTGGCTGAAGCATTATTCTTATTGCCCAGAGTTCTCTTCCGTGCCCACCGATGGTATCCTGGGACCTGTTAAGCCAATAGGCTTAATGGTGGGCAATAAAATGTTGAGGCTGGGTTCTGACAAACAGGCAGGTAGTGAGGTTTTGTGGGATGGGGGTAAATTCCTCCCCCAGTTGTGAGCTAGGGAATGAAAGGAAGCTGAATCTCCTTTCCCCCCAAAGGAATGGTATGAATGAGAACACAGCACTGACCGTGAAGTTCCCACCAGCTGCTGGAGCCGCCTGGCAGGAGATGTGACTCAGGGAGAGAGCACTGACTTGGTGTGCAGAATATTTCCAAGTTCAATTCCTGCATATCCAGGTATGATTGTAAAAAAACCATGTTATATCCCTGGACAGCTGCTTCCAGAAAGCCCTAGATCAGTGTTTCTCAACTGTGACAACTGTAAGATGTGTGGACTTCAAATCCCCGCCAGGCTGGGGGGGGGGTTCTGGGGGTTTGAGTCCACACATTTTCAAAATTTTA